TTTGTTCTTCTGTTGGGTTTTTGGAATCTTTTTTTGGGGGGGGGGGTGTAACCGGGGATTGAACTCAGGACCTTGTGCTTGCAAGGCAGGTGGCAGAACCACTGAGCTAAATCCCCACCCCCATGAAATCTTAACTATTATATGGCTATGTGTAGATTTTTTTTTTTTGATCATGGCTAATTGGAGTCCTATATGCTTCACTTATCTCTATGTCAAGTTCTTTTCCCCTATTTGGGAATTTTTCTGCCATTATTTCTGTGAACATTTTTTTTATGTCATCTACACTCTCTCCTGTTTCTTCCTTGACTCCAATCACTCTGATATTCTTCTTTGCATCGTGTAGCAGCTGCTGGCTTGAATTCTCATGGTCCCTTGTATTTTTCAGAAATTTTTCTTTTCCTGGTCATTAATTGTAATCCTATCTTCTATATCTGAAATTCTACCCTTGCATTGGCTTATTCTGCTGTATAAACTTTCAATGGAGTTTTTAATCTCCTGGAAATCTGTTTGCATCTGTTTTATGGATTCCATTTGTTTCCTACGTTGGGATTCCATCATATTCCTCAGCTCCTCTATTTTTTATGTTTCTGCTCTAGATTTATTAATCATGTCTTGTACTATGGGCATAATCTCTGCTGTTATCTGAGAAATTATTTCTGATTTCATTTTTTCCAGGTCCCCTTTCGTTACCAGTTCAGGGAGTCCAGGTGGTTGAGTATCAGATTGTTCCATCTCATTGCCCTTTGGGGTTGACTTAGGTGATCTGGAAGTCTGGTTTTGGACTCATTCATGTGTCTTCTCATTTCAACTGATGCAGCCTGCTGTGTCTTTGTTGAAGTGACTTTTTGCTAACCCAGTGGTCTTGAATTCTCAGCAAGCCACCTACCAGCCTTTACTCTGCTGCTCACCAGTACACCAATTCCTGGGTTCAGAGTGGTAGCCTTGTAGATCCCTGAGCTGACCTGCTGTCTGGGCAGGCTTCTGGCTGGGGCCTGAGCAAACTTGGGATGGTATCTAGGTGTGCCTCTCGATGGGGCCCCTATGTAGCTATTGTCTGGAAGGGCCTTTGTTTAGGGGCTGTGCACTGAAGTTTCTGTTGTCTGCACAGGCTTTGGCTAGGTTCTCCTTGCACTTATCAATGGTATCGGGGCAAGTCTCTGGGTATTGCTTGTGTTCCTGTACAGCTCTTCTCCAGGTGGGTCCTTGGCTGTGGCCAATGGTATGATGAGGCTCTGGCTGAAGCCTGTGTGCCTGGGAAGCCCCTTTCTGTGTGGGCCTTTGGCTTGGGCAGGTGTGCCCAAGCCTCTGGGAGCAGGGTGGAACCCCAGCTGGTATCCACCTGCAGCCATGCTGGTCCAGGCCACACAACTGCTCCCCGAGATCTGCCCACATTTAGGGATGGAATGGTGGGCTTCTGGCAGGAGCCCACGTGCCCATTCAGCTCCTCTCTGGGCAGGCTCCTGGTAAATTCTCATTTTTCTGTAATGGCCATATACATAAAAAAATATATATTTTGGCACTGGGGATTGAACTCCAGACCTTGCGTTTGTGAGGCAGGCGCCGGAACTACTGGGCTAAATCCCTGGCCCTGTAATGGTAATATTAATGGAAACCTAAGATAGTCCAAATGAAAGTATGTGGTGAGCACTGATTGATTCTTATGGGCAATTTGTGTAATTTTTATTGTTTTTTTATTGGAGTTTCCTTTTCCAGCCTAACTTATAAAGAATAAAAGGAGAAACAGTAGCTTTTCTTCATTCCATCATACAAAGTAATGGAGGGCCTCAGATGTAGCTCAGTGGTCCTGTGCCTGCCTGGCAAGTGTAAGGTCCTGAGTTCATTCCCCCACAATGGGGTGGGATAGGGAGGTGGAATTTTGGGCTGGGGATATACCTCAGTGGCACCTTGCCTGCCTGGCAAGCACAAGGTCCCAAGTTTGATCCCTGGTGCCGAAAAATAAAAAATCAAAGCAATGGATAGTGTTTTATTTGTTTTTTAAAGTAAATATGAAGTAAATACACCACTTTTTTCTGAAAAATTATTTTTGAGGCTCTTTTGGCTTTGCTTCAAATACATTTTTTGTAAAATTTAGATTTTAATAATTAACACAATATTAAATATAACAAAGCTAATCAAAATATCATTTAGATAGAAGAAATAAGTTTGAGATATCTATTGTAATCATAACTGTAATTTAAAAAACCAATGTATTAGGGCCAGGGATGTATTAGCTCAGTGGTACCTTGCCTGCCTGGCAAGTGCAAGGTCTTAATTTTGATTCCTAGTAACAGAGGGGAAAAAAAAAGAAAATGTATTGTAGACTTGAAAACTGCTAAGAGCAGATTTTTTTTGTTTTTTGGGGTTTGCTTTGTTTTGGTACCAGGGATCCAACTCAGGACCTTGCACTTTGCCAGGCAAGTGTGGTGCCACTGAGCTACATCCCCAGGTATAAGAGTAGATTTTAAAGGCTCTCACCACCACCAACAGAACAATACATGAGATAATAAATGCTAACTATGTCCATTTAGCCATTCCACAATGTATACATATGTGAAAACATCATGTTTGTATACCATAGATATATATGATTTTGTCAACAAATAAATATAAATAAACACAATGAAGCTGAAAACAAAAGGCAAAGAAAAGAAAAAAGTGAGCAGAGAGGAATATGAACTCTGTGCTTGGAGATTGATGAAACTTTTGTTTCTTTTATTGGCAAAGTTGTCAGCCCCCGCCCCCCAGTATTAGGGATTTGAACCCAGGGCTTTCTTTGGACTGAGCTACATCCCCAGACCTTTTTGTAACAACATTTGGAGCCAGGTATGGAGGTGCATGCATGCCTATAATCCCAGTGCTAGGGAAGCTGAGGCAGGAGGATGGAATTCAAGGCCATCCTGGGCTATATAAGGAGTTTAAGGACAGCCTGGACTACATAGCAAGATCCTACCTCAGAAAACAAAACAAAACAAAACAAAAACAAGTTTTGAGCCAGGGTTTCACTAAATTTCCCAGGCTGGCCTTGAACTTGTGATCCTCCTGGCTGGTACTCCCAAGTAGCTGGGATTACAGGCGTGTGCCACATTGCCTGATTTATCAAAAATACTTAAGAAACAAAGTTAATGAAAACTGATATGTGATCTGAAAAAGCAATTAGATAAACTTCATTTTGTAGATACTCAGTACAACTGATAGATCAGGGTTAGGATTCCTTTCCCCCATCTTCTGGGTTTAGACTGAAAGAACATCACAGGTGCTAGGGACAGCATCCCACATCTGCTTCCAGAGGTAAGGACCTGGCCAGAGCCACCCTGAAGGCAGCATAAGGGTATGAGGTTGAAATCTCCAGACATGTAGGGATGAGATTTCTGGCTAAGCCGAGTCGAAGTCTGTTGCATCATTTGGAGCAAAAAGCTAACTTTCTTTTGGGCCTGCATTGTTAACTCAGAAGAACATCTGTTAGAGCTTGAGACTAGAACCAAAGCCCTTCTCATTCTTAAAATGATTGAAGATTCCAAAAAACTTTATTGTATATATTATATCTATTAATATTCACCATGCTAGAAAATTAAAACAAAAAATCTTAAATACTTTTTTATTAATTCACTTAAAAATAGTGACATATCCATTACTCTTTTTTTTTTCTTTTTTTGAGATAGGGTCTCGGTATGTAGGCCAGGCTAGCCTCAAACTCAAGGCAATTCTCCTGCCTTGGCCTCCCATGTGCTGGGATGACAGGCCTCCATTATATTTTTTAAAAAATATTTTATTCTTTTATTAGTACACTTTAGGTATACAATACGTTTACATTTACCATTGGGTGCTTGTACCTGTACATGAGGTATCTTGGTTCTTATTTTTTCCCCATTACCTGTGCGCCCTTCACTCCCTCC